TCTAGGGTTCAAATCCCACTGTATACAGAATTGAATAATTACCTAGACATCTGTATCCAACTTACAGTAAACTCTACCCGTTTCTGGGGTTGTAACTAGTGATTCTACCCAAACCCATTAGTTTGGGACTAGGTAGAATCCTAAATGTATTTACTAGGTTTCGCAAAATGCCTCTAATTTGCCGTAATGTCAAATATTTTGACATATAACTTATATTACGGCTAGTAGTCCCAAATTTTAGCATGTAAATACATATTAGATTTGGGCTTATCCCAAATATAAATAATATATTATCCATACATATTAAATAAATATACTCAATATCGGTATCTGCACAGCATAGAGTTATCCGAATTGCTAATTATATACATAAACTTCTCACTATCGCTATTGAAATTAAAACTTTCCAAGTAATACAAGGTGAATATATCCAATTCAACCTTTAATCGGTATCATGTGTATGCCCATCTAATCAAGAATATTATGTATCATATAAAATCTAAACTTATGATAAACCCGGTATTTAAATCTTCCCGATTAAATAATGTTTAATGATCATAATTGGGTAAAATCGTTCAATTTACCTAAATAATGATCAATTCGTAATACATACAAAAGTTTTTTTTGAATCCCGATTACTTTAAGAACGCATTTAATGTACACTTTTTTTAACAATATTTTTATTATTCGCAGCTTTGTCTTCTAAGCTTTTTTTATTAATGTTACAGTATTTCATGCTTATATGGTATTTTAAAAGCATACCATACCGATCACGTTATCAATATTGTGAAATTTGTGGATCAAAAGAAGAAATCACTACTATGATCTGCCGTCATGACGTTCAAAATGAAGAATAACATCCATATTTTCCACCACATGAACAAAATTAGTATAAATTTGTAAATTCTGAAGCTAGAGACTAAAGCAAATATATTTAGTCAAACTAGAACGATATTAAAAGAGAAGTATTTAGAATTTAGTAAAATCATAATGAATATAGGTGATTATAATCTTGAACTTACAGAACTCACAAAACTTCACAAAAAAATTTTTTTTGTATCAGAATTGGACAATATTAATACCCAGGTAAATGAAAAACAGCGATAATATATATAATTTTATCAAGTATAATACTATAAATATAAATGACAATAAAATAAAACAAAATAATAAAATAATAATTTCCTATAAAAATATCGTAGCTAATATATTTATCTAAACCAACTAAAGATCTACCGTATTCATTTCTTCATCAATAAAAGAAGGATTATTATTCACTTCGAATATTTGGTCTGATAGATCAACTAAACTTTGAAGTGCCATTGTAATATCACTTTCAGCAGAGCTTACGATTTCTACTTCCTCTTCATTTTTCTCAATTGAATTAGGATAATCAATTTCTGAAATAACTGTTTCACTTAATGCACTATTACGCAACTCAGTTTCCACAAAATTATTTTTATAAAATTTTAACTCTTTTTTAATATTTGATACATAAAAAGAGTGGATTTGCGCCATACTTTCTAATCGTAAAACTTGAAGCCGCGTACGTCGTCCTTCACTAAACCATTTTAAGATGGAAAAGTTTCGTTCGCAATTGGCCTGGGATGGTACAATAGAGAACATAGTTTGAGCTAGTTCTTGTAAATGGGAATATTCATCCTCAACAACGCCCCACCATAAAGAAGGAATTAAGTTAGAAGAATATTCAAGATTCCAAGGTTCAACTTCTGCTTTATATCTAATTAATTGATCTACTAATTCATTGCACTCTTCTTCTTTATGGAATAAATCTTTATAATAGTTAACTGCCAAATTACGAATATTATGAAAATTTCCGGTTTTAAGACCACGGTTTCGATATTTAGGGTGGAGAAAATAAGCTAGAAGATACGGAGAAATATCAAATTGCTGATAGCGAAAATTAAATGCTGAAATAGCCAAGATACGAAAATTATTGCTAGTAGGTATTTTTTTAAGCATAGCAGCGATTTGGACAATTCCTAAGAAACAATCCGCCAAACTTGCAGTATTACTTTCAAGTAAATTAATTACTCGCTTAATTGGTTCAAAGACCGAAGCGATTCTTTTGCAAGAAGTATAAAAATTATCATGTATATCGTTTGCAATCTCAAACACTTCTTGATTAGAAAATATATCCGGTTTTTCTTCAAGGATCTAAAAAAAAAAAAAATTAATATACAATATTGGCCTTAGTATATTAAGTTATATAATTTACAAACCTTCTCAATAGCAGGTCTAACACGAACAATAGAGTTTGTTGTATTGTAAATAGACCCCCAGCGCATTTCACAATATGTTTCTAATGATCCTCCTTTTATATTCATTAATGCAATTGTATCTCGCAGAACCCGACTTGCTAAATGAGATTTTTGAAAAAATAAGACTAGAGTATTTGCTTGTTTTAAAATTCTCTTTATTGATTCAGTCTTCACAAGATCGGCTGCAATTAAATTTAGTGCATGAGCGATGCAATGGATGCTTAATATGTGAGAATAAGTTTGATGAATAATTTGTCGTGCAGCACGTATATTAGAGCCATTATCAGTTACGATTGCCGCAAACCGATGAGAACCAATTTCTTCAATAATATCTGAAATTTTAGTTGCAATAAAATCTCCTGTTTGGCGTTCTCCTGAATAATCGGTTATAGCATAAATATATTCATGACGCCTTGAAGTTGTAACGATATAATTGTAAAGTGAATCCCCTTTTGGAGAAGTCCAACCGTCAATTGCTATAAAACAAATTAATTAGAATCAATTATAAATATAATTATAAAAATTAAAAATTAATTAAACTATATATACTTAAAGTTAAATTATCAGTCTTTTGTAATTCAGATTCCATTTTTATAACAATTCGTGCGATTTCTCCATCAAGTACTGGTCCCGAAAGAGTATCGTTATGTGGCAGTACATAACCAGGTTGCAGAAGATTTAAAAAATCCCGAAAATAAGGATTGTTAATAATTGCAAAAGGAATTCCGCAGCATACAAAAGCTTTAAGCAATGCTTTTGTAATATCTGCAGATTGTTGAGAAGATAACATATTAACAGGTCTATAGTGTGAAGTAATTGATTGATTGACAGTTTTGACTTTTTTTCTAATTGGAACATCATCATCTTTATCATTATTCGCTTTTTCACCTCTTTTAGCAACTTCAATTAACCATTTCTTTCTAATATCCTCTGGTACAGGTCCCTTGCAGTGAAATGCCAAATGAGCTTTCATAACTGAAGGCTTGCCACGCTGCCACCTTCCTTTATCACAATAATGACAATTGGCTCCATAATGTCCATGACCATCTTCTTCACCTTCACTATAATCATCCCAAATCGGCATTTTTGGTCTACCTCCCTTGCTTTTCTCTGCCTTGCTTTTCCGTTTTGTCAAAATATAAGAATCCGAAATTTCTGAAGATTGGGGCTAAAGAGTTCATCATCTTGTGTATTTGCTTCTTCCATAATAACTACCAACTTGATATTCGTTGTAGCTATTAAGTATTAAATCTAATCCTGAGAACATAGTATTTATATGTTTGTATAAGCTACTAAATTTCAAATAATTTACAAGAACTTGCCTTTTCGATCTAACTCATACATCTAATTAATACTAACGCTATTTATATAAATAATTATAAAAGTGTGAGAATTTTCTTGAGAATATTAATTATAGCAATAACAGTAAATAATGGAGCTAAAATTACCGCGAAATTAGTTAATGTTAATTTGATCACGTGAATGTATAAGAAATTATCGAAATTCTTCAATTATTATATGTACGAGTATCTATAATGCTAAATTGAAATTATTTTTAGGTTAAGTTCGTGAAATTAGATTTTTTTTTTCTCATAAAAATTTTAAACTAACGATACATATATTATTTACCATATATGACATTTAACTTTCAAGACGAAAAATCAACCAGTTAGAAAAAATCTAATTTTTATGCATGTACGATCGAAATTCACATGCACTTAATCGATCTAGAGAAAATTAAGTTATGATTGTTAGTTTGGGAGTGCGATGCATAACAAATGCGCTTAGTATTTTCAACAACTATATAGATTGAATGGTATCGATATGAAGTTTCTAATCGAAATAATTCTATAAGCATACTGATTCATGCAGTGGATTTTAACAATCAAGATACTAATTTAGTTATAAATTAATTTATTACACTGCTAACTTGAGTGGTCAGTGCTTATAAATCTTATTATTCACGCCTCCATTATGTAATTCTTAACAATCACGATGCTAATTTAGTTAAAATTAATTTATTACACTGCCAACTTGCTTATAAACCCTTACCATTCATGCTTCAATTATGTAATTTTTAACAATCACAATACTAATTTGGTTAGATATTTAATTGCACCAAAAAAAAAAAAGCCAATTGATTCATTACACTGCTAACTTAAGTAGTCAGTACCCATAAACTTCTATCTAACTGCACTTCAAATATTATGTACTTTCGTGGTTATATTAGTAACCATGGTCACTAATCAGATCTCATTCAGATGGGACATATTTCATGTTTCGAATTATGGATAAGTATTATTTATTCGAAGAAAAAGCCATTGAACTTTATTAATTTGGCTTCGCTATATAGTCATATTTAACTTATATTATTACATCATAAGTCAATCATACGATTTGACTCCTATATTAATTACATCATTTCTTATGCGCTATTAATCTTATTTTGGTAAACTATTTTGTGTTACCGATTATTGCATATTGATCTTTCTTGACTAATCGTTCAACACACATTACGTGCATCACGTGCACACATCATTATTATCGTTTCGAACTTTTCCAACCCAAAGATAAATATCAAACATATTACAATTTTTATTTTTATTTTATTCTTTTTTATTTTTATACTAATACATCTATGCTATATTTCTTTTCCACTAATTTAAAGATCCCCTTAACTACT